AAATAGGTACCATCTATGCTCAGAATCGTTTTTTCTATACAATGATTTATCATTGTATTCCAATTGAACACATCTATTTGCAGTAACCTACAGTCTATATTGATGCACACTTGAAATACTGCAGAGTATAGACTTTTTCAAAATTATTGTTTTCTCTGAATATAGCGCCCGTAGCCCTATTATATAGCCCGGGGATACTCTCGAAACCACTCAGCAGAACGACTTAATCTTTTATTTATCATAATATGATTTTATCGTTTATTTGGAGAAGAATTAAGGATTTTACCACACTTTATAACTACGTAATATTGGAATAGGATATTTTTTAACAAATAATGGTATATTTTGCAATTCCTTAAAAAATATTTATTATTATTATTTTTTTTTTGTTTATAAAGCATTAGCACCGGTTATTCACCGTGCCTATACATGTGTATAATGTATATTACATACTATTTTATACTTTCTTCAAACGCACATACATGTATACCCTACCTGCTAAAAAATACTTATACGTACTCGTACCTGTATATAACGCACCTGGTACGACGACACCACCGCCGCCTTTGGGTAGGTATATACATACTATTTATACCTATATAAATATATATAGATTCACGCATAGCGTAATGGGCGCGCAGGTGACTTTAGATAGCTACTCGGCGGCGGCCACCGCGACAGGTGTCACTTATATATACATAGACTCCGCGCACGCGCTCATACGTGTGTGTGTGTGTGTGAGAGAGGCTTCCAGAAGACGTTAAAACCTCTCGTACACAACGAAACGGACGACGGCGACTCGGGTTGTTACGTAATTTTGGTCGAACGTTAAACGCTTAGTAATAATATTATAAAGAACAAAAATACAAGGCGGACGAACAACAACTGCGCACAGCACCCATTGTTGTCCATGCTGCTGTCGCCGAAGTCTCTCGTGGCCAGCAAAAAGAAATCGTGCTATGGAGAAATTTGTTTAATTAGGTCCCTACATAAGTTTAGTTATAATTCGCTGATGGTTCTCAAAAATATTTTGTTTAACGGAAGTTCGTTGCACTGATGTTTCACGGTATAAGCGGGCCTAATAGATTCTCGGCGAAACTCAAATCGGGCTTTCCATTCAGCAACGTCTTATATTCGTTTGATCCCATCCTCCTAGTCAACAGACATCGACCTTACTTTTCATAATTATATATTATTTAGGTAAACAATAAGCCTACCGATAAGCGTGAAGTTGGTGAGCTTTGGACATTGCCAGTTTTTAAGTTTACTGTTCTAAAGAAAGTCCACAATAAACACAGTGGTTGTATAGGGCGGGTAAAATATGACATACTTACTTTTATTAGAAATTCAATTTGATTATTTTTTATTGGGTAATTTAAATATCAAAGTCAAATATTCGAACACTTTAAACGGTCAAGTGATTTCCGTTCGCATATTTATTTTTAATGTTAATAGTTCAAATTTTCTTTCAAGGTTAAACTTGAGTGTACCCGCTTTTCATACGTATACTAGTGCCAATACGGTTGATATAGAACCACTACTCTCTGAGAAACATCATAAAATATAAAAATAATTTAAATAATTATTGATATTAAATATTACTTTAAACACAATATAATCCTTGAACATTGGAGTATCAACATCGATATCAAAATATCCTTAAAATAAGGACCAAACATTGCACAAGCACCCATAAATATTATGTAAACGCTCTTCAGGCGAATTCAATAACAACAAAATGCTATGATCTAAGTATCTAACTACTATTTATCATTGTGTAGGAAACCAAAATGACGGTTGTCACCTAAAATAAATAACATTTTTTTTTTTACTATTGGATTTTCCTATTTGGTCATTCTAACTAAGAAATAAAAACAAGGACGCATACTTAATTTATATGTATATAATATCGTCACATAAAAAAATACATTACAAAAACATTGTTTATCGTCGGTTATAGTAAAATAATAGTTAGGTATACAATTATATTAGTGTGATTTTTCTCATTGATTTTAAAAAGGGATGTGCGTGATTTTTGACAACATGCAGGGCCAAAAAAAGTGACGACATAATTTTCGTTTTTCTTATGGTGTTTGTACACATTTGAAAATTACGAATACATTTTAAAAATTAATAAATAATAATATTATGAAAAGTAAATTTTGCACGAAATAAAAACATTGGCGTACAATTAAAACAGTGTCGTAACCGATAAACGCACCATTTTCGGAACGCAATACAATAATGATATGATTAAAAAATGAAAAACAATGAGTAAAACAAAACATATCAATATAAAAAAATTATAGTTAGAGGAACAAAATAATTTCTTATACAAAGTTTAATAATCACCGACCGTCGCGTATCGTGACGTAACTTACAACATCATATATTATTTTATACAAGATGTTCAAATAGAAGAAAGGATTTAATTCGTTTCCAAGCCATTTGAACCCGTTGTATGTGTATATATATATATTTGTTTATATGCTGTTGTAATTTACAATTCACTGGTGTATACGGACAACGGGGCGGCATATGAATATAATAATATAAATATCAATAATAATAATTAGTTAATCAAATACAATAAAATATGATTACGAACAACAACAAATTGTGTAAAATATTATATTACTTATTGTTGTTTTTTCTTCATTTTAATTATCACTTTCTTAAAACTAGCACAAAATCTTTCCTTAAAATGTATCATAATATATAGCCTATATAGGTAATAATAATAAAAATAATAATCACAACGATAATACGTCGTGCACAAAATTGTATAATGTTTATATGTTACTAAATATGAAATAATACGATCGCAATAATAATATTATTAATAATCATCATGAAAAAATGGTCACCTGAATGTTGGGCCATGAAAATACAATATACGGAAATAAAAAAAAAATGTAGTAATTGTCCGGCGGCGGACTGTTATTGTTTTCCCTTATTATTCGAGAATTACTGCTACGGTACAGGAATAAAATGATTACCTATGAAAAACGCGAATATTTCGAAGCTTGACTTACGTTAAAATAATAATTATAATAGTAAAAATAATAATATCAGCGCCGTTTATTATGTGATTGCGTCGGGACAATAATTAATAATGCACGTGCCTTGCACAGAGACGACAGGTGTAAATAAAAAAAAAAATATGTAAAATATTACTGAAACTGTGAAACGTCTGTTGAATTTTTTTGATTACCGTCGTAAGTGTGCGGTGTATATTCTTTTACTTCTCAACTGTGATAATAACATTAGGTATATAAATAATTGTTTCGGGACAAAAACGCGCGCCGGTAAAAAAGTTTTTTTTGTGTTTTTTTGTGTTTTCTGAAATTTTACATATTTTTAATTTATCGTGCCTATAAATTGTACCGATCTGCGATAGCCTGTGGTATAATAATAATCGGTACAACGGCCAATAATAATACGCTCTGAAAATGCAATTGAAATCAAAATAATAATGTCATGTATGTACACAAAAGTAATAACAGATAAACTGTAGTGAAAATATTTTTTCGTGGGTAATTTACATAATATTTCGTATGTGGGGCGAATGCGTATAATAATATATAATGTTAGGTTATATAATAATAAAGGTGCGTCCGCTAATCGCCGAGTCGTGTCGTGTTCATTATTGTCCAACTTGCATTGAAAATAAGGAACCCGACGCGGCTAGGCAAGTAGGGAACGCACCTGAATGATAATGGTAATAGAAAAAACATACCTAACACGGAGGCCATAACATCATAATATATATATAATTTTATTACACGATTCTGCACACTTGTGTAGAACCGATTGGTAAACGAGGACGGACTAGAGATGTGCGCATATCCGTTGCGATGTTTTAACGGTTAGCTGAGCAATATATACGAACAGGAATCCGTATGGTTCGACGCCCGCCGTATGTGAGCGAACTGCTGCGGGTTACGATCGTAATGAACTATATTTTATGATATATATATATACATAATATGTGACTCGACGTTATAATATTATACAATAATAGTAATAAAAATATGGTCTGTTGACTATAACGATGCACTGCACGGTTGGTTCTTATCGCGGCCGATAACCATAAATCACGACGTCTTATCCAGTGCAAACATAATATTATTATTATTGTACAGCTCGTCAAGGCGAACACGTGTGCTGCTGCTCTCGTCCCGTCGCAGTAGGTCCGAGCACACGCGATTTTCGGTTTTTCCTCGACGAACGTGTTATATATTACTATTATATACGTTATACGCGACCCAATAATATATGATTTATAGGATTATATTAATTATACACGAGACGCCGTTTCGGTGGTCTTTGGGTGATGGCAACCATATGCTCGCGCGAGTCCGACGCGTCCCGAGAGACCTGCACCGGCGACTCGGGGCGAACGGGGGTATGTTATCTTCTATTTTTTTTTTTAAGCTTTGTTTCTGCGAAACTCGCGTAAAGGGACTAACCCGGCGCAGACCACCCTGATCGGCCGGTCGTAATTCGTAAAGACGTGTGTTATATATTAATATAATAATATTATGTATATACACTACCGTCTTCACGTGTTGCGGCTTGTATAATAATCGCATTAATTTTGTCGAGTTTTCGTGCAGCGCGTTCGCCGAAGAATAATAATTATTCGGCCCTCGAACGGGTATGAAAATTCGACAAAATTCCGATAGCCGGTGTGCGGTATATCACCGAACGGTGTTGTTAGGACTTCGCCTTTGGCAGCCGCGCGTACTTAAATATAATACTATACATAATATAATAGATTTTTTTTTTTTAATATAGTCTTGAATGTGTTGCCGAGTCGGTGTTCGCCGTCTGCGCTTGCACGGACGTCGAACCTCCGACGAAAAAGAGAGCGCTGAAAGTTCGTGCTCGATTCGGTGTCCATGCCTGCCGCTGTAGAGACTAGTGCGGTGGTAGTGGACTTGGGCACCGAAAAGAGAACGAGTGCGTTTCGACGCTTCATTCGCGCGGCGCGCCCTTTAGCTGGACGTGCCGCTACTTCCGGCCACGGCCGCGTCTATGGCTGAGGCGGTAGAGGCAGCGGCGGCGGCGGCGGCGACAGCAGTGGCGGCAACAGTGGACGGCAACACGGCAATGGCGACGGCGGCGGTCTGTTGGTCGGCCACCGCGGCCGTGGTGCTGGTGATGTGGTACTGCTGAGCAGCCGGGGATCCGGGGTGCATGGTCTCGCGGTGCCTGCGCAGGTCCACCTTCCGCTGGAATGCCCTGTCGCAAAGGCCACATGGGAATGGCCTGTAACCAGAGTGTTTGCGCAGGTGAGTGATCAGGTTGGACGACTGGCTGAACGCCTTGAGACACACCACGCACTTGTGCGGTTTCTCACCTGAAAAACGATGGTAAAAAAATATATAATATAATACAGTCACGTCACGCTCGGCGATACCCGGTTATAATATATATAATATAATATTTGTATCGTCTTTTATTCATCGTCGCTGCACCCTTAAAAACAACAGCCGTATAACACTGCAGCAGTGTCATGCGGGGCTTTATTATATTATAATATGCAGTACGGAAGTATACGCGGCGGTGTATTGGTGAATATACATAATATATCAAGCTGTTCAAGCTGTATCCATAAGCAATTATCTCGCTTGAATTAATTTCTCGAGGTACGTTTACACTCCCCTGTAAGCTAATTATACTCAATCAATATATTGATAAGTATTATTATTTATGATAACGCGTTCCGTACAATATCGGAAATAGTATCGTTTGACAATAATTAGGTACTACTGAACAATCTGTACCTTAATCTGACCAAAGGTATAATTAGGTAAAATTTCGTATAAAACGACACTATGCACTTGTTTGAGTCTTTATACGTTACTTCGAGTTTATACCTAAAATCGTATATTCGAGTTCATAAGTATGAAAATTGACAAGTGAAGTTACAACGCGAATTTAATTTTTTTTTTTTGATAAATTGAATTTTGTTTATAAGCTATTTTTAATCAGAATTGAATCACTTTTATTGTAGACATTTATTAAGGCGTAGATATACAATACGACTAGAACAAATTACAAATCATACCTATAATATTGGCGTAATTATTGTTGGGCATAGAGCTCATTGGAGGATCGTTAATTTATTCTGTATATAAAATATATATGAAACCACTGATCGCTATACTTACCAATAATATACATGGGTAATATGGAGTTTTTTGTATGCACTATTGACAATATCACAATACAATACTTAATGCACAGCTATATAATGTGTTCTTTATATAATTTAAAGAAGACACGCATTATTATACATTATTAAGTTAGGTATACAATTTTAAAAATATCAACCCCCTCCCCGTACATAAACAAAAGAATGAATTCCTAATCACGTCACAACACTCAACGGAAATTCACTTATTACCGCAAAGTGCGTGCATTATCATCTAAGTTTCCAAATGAAAATTTACAAATTTCGTTTGGAAAATAATCACTCCGTATATAATATACATAATATTAAGTCAAATAATAATATTTATAATATGTACGTGTGTGTGTGTGTGTGTGTGTGTGTGTAAATAACATTCGACGCGCCCCCTTCTCGTCTCGCGCCGTCACGACCACCCCCACCGGTGACCGGACTGACCGCGCAAACTTTACACCAATCCCTGCACGTGACGTCAGTGTTTCGCACACGGGGGTGGCTCCGGTCGGGATGAGTCGGTGCGCGGGCGGCGGCGCGGACTCGCCGTTCCATTAAAACCGTATACCATAATATCGGTAATTAGTCGAGTACTTATATATAGGTATTATATATTGAATGCCTGTACAATAGTAATTAAAACGCGCTTAGCGCGACTTATTGTATTCGCCATCGTACTTTATATATAACTACACGCATTGCATATTATATTGGTGCGACGCCAACGATATTTGGCTTCGAGGGTTGAGAGCTTTTTACGTGACGGTCGAAGTATGTAGCTACCCAGTGGAAAAAATTACCCCACATCTACATCCCGTTAGCCGATTTATTAGATATAGCTCGCAAGACATCGTCACACTGCACCCTGCAGTACCTATATAATAATAATATAAGTTATGCACACAAATGGGTTTATAATAAGTGTTTGCCGAAGGTCGATATTATATTATTACAGGTCGACACAATATGGGGATTATAGGCCATAATTATTCAAAAATATGTCAAACTATAAAATATGTATCGCGTATACCGTAGACCGTATAGACTAATAAATAGGTAGGTAAGTAATATCTATCTATCTATATATATATATTTAAATAGGTATACGTGGAATTCTATATACAGACATCAAATCATTCGATCGACATAAACCTATTTCTCGGTAGTTGAATAGGATACTCCTTTACAATATATATGTAGTATTTGTAGTGCCATATAATTATGGAGTGATGGAAATAGAATACATTTATACATAATACTATATTATATACCCCATTTTGTCGTGATTAATAAGGATCGAAAGTTAAAAAGCTAAAAAATGCAAAATATGAGGGAATACATTTTAAACAATTTTAAAAATGCTAATCAATTTAATAAATATTTTCTTAATATTCAAAATTAAAACAAAAAAAGGTGGGTAAGTGGATGTCGCTCTGCTGTACTGTAGGTTACAAGTGGGCCATGGTATAATGGATGGTATTAAATTTGAATTCAATGATATAATATCATTGTATAAGAAAAACGATTCTGAGTGGAGACGGTATGTCAATCTAGGTATAAGACATATAATATACCTACTTATAGATGGTATTAAAAAAAAAAATTGACCTATAATAGATACCTATAATAAATTCCAAATTAATCATATCACAATTTCCATTAGGTATCATATATGATATATCCCCGAATACTATTTTTAAATTACAACGAAAAACCAAGATCGTTAATATTGATTTTAATATGTAATTTCGTCCAAATTTGGATTTAAAATGTCTGTAAAAAATAACTGCCATATATTTTTTAAATTTGTTGGTTACAGTATGAACTATTTATGAGAACTTTTGTTTTAAATTTGCAATCCTTAGCTATAAAAAATGAACATTTTATAATTTATTAATTACAATGATTGATAATTTTCAAGATTTTGATAAATTTTGTCAAAATTTGATCTTTAAATGCTTATAAAAAAAAACTGTGCCTATGTATTTTTAATATTTTTCAACTGCTATTGTAACAATACATCAGGAGCCTTGTATTAAATTTTTACACTTTTTGGCCCAACAGATAAAACTTTATTGATATTTATAGAAAAAAAAACTAAAAAAAATTGAAAGGTGTAAATGTCCATAAAAAGCTCAAAAAGAGTCAAAATATTTTCAAAGTTGTATGGTGTATAGAAAATGCTAATTTAAACATTCAGTGAAATTTTCATGTATCTACAGTTACATTCGTTTTTGAATTGCAACAAAATAAGGAAATCGCTACATGAGTAATCGAGTGAAAATCCAATGTTGTAAAAATTTGAATTTCAAACGCTCATAAAAATTTAATTTGACTGTCCGGTAGAGATTTTTTTATTGATAAAGGTAGATAATCTTATAAGGAATCTTGTGTTTCATTTTCAAATCTTAGATTTAAAAAGAAAAATTTTTACGAATTCTTAACTCAAAATAATTTGCTAATTTTCGTGATTTTTCCATATTTTGTAAATTTTTGAACTTTAAATGCTTATAAAAAAAAATTGTGACTAAGGATTTTTAATATTTTTCATCTGCCTTTGAAACAATATATTAGGAGCCTTCTATTAAATTTTTAAGCTTTCGCAACCAACAAATAAAATTTTATTGATATTTCTAGAAAAAAAACTAAAAAAAAATGAAAAATGAAAATGTCCCTAAACAGTTCAAAATAAATCAAAATATTTTGAAAATGTTATCGTGTATAGAAAATGCAAATATAAACAACCAGTGAAAATTTCATGTATCTACGGTCATTTGTTTTAAAGTTACACCAAAAACCAAATTCGATTTTTTGGAAAATCGATTTTGCGTAAAAATTCCCGTTTTTCCTTAATTTTTATGTTGTTTTTCCCGGCGCTTGTGAAAACTACTGGAAAATGTTTACTTTTGACCCCCCAAAGTACCAACTAGATTCACTTTCCTATCAGAAAAGGTACTATTGAAGAAAATCGAAGCAATTTTACTGTCCCAAAACGTGATGACAGACACAAAAATATAAAAATATAAAAATATAAAAATATAAAAACACACATCATTGTAAAACCAATACATTCATCGCTCCGCTCAGAATCTAAAAAACATCTCATATAGTTATTATTAATAACTTATTAATATACACAAAAACAAATGAAAAATATAGAAAAATAAATGCAATTTATTTAAAATATGATGGAAAATTGGTTGAAGTTGTATAAAATTTAAATTAAATATATTAATAGTATATATTATTGTGTGGCAAGGGCGGGAATAAGTGAGCGACGTGTACAATTTTTGTCACGTCTACACCGAAAGTTTAGTTTTCGATGACGTTTGAAACGTTGGAAAATTAACTTTTTCCGCCCAGTGAGCGGTAAAGTTGGAACCCCCCATAGTTCCGGGGCGGTAAAGTGAAAATCCAAAAAAGTGCATGGCGGTAAAATGGAAATCCTCAAAAGTGCTGGGTGCACGTCATATCACGCATATCCCCTGCACAACCAGACACTGAAATCTATAACCACGTATTTAACGTACGTAAGCTATACGAACCACGGTTCTAACAAAACATACACTTTTGGTTTAGTACATCTTATATTCATATTATAACCGTATTATGGCGCTTGAAATAAATAAAACCAAATCTTTTCTTTCATGAAGTATTGTTTTTGTAGAACAGTTTGGTTTTTGCATAGATCTCTGCAATATACCTTTGCCGTGATTCACGAACGCAGAGGCGTGACAAAAAATAGTAAGTATGGCTCGTGCGGAAAGGCAATTTCCGCCCTTGCCTCACAATATGCTATTTTAGTATTTGGTGATGTTATAGATACGAAAGAAATAAAATACCTGTTAAGTTGTTGCATTCAACAAGAAATTAATAAGCGACTGTGACGATTTCAAAAAGTACCTATAGGTTAAATAATATTAAGTTTTATATCCAATAATATTTAAAATATGCATAGGTTAAGAAAGAAAAAATAATTTTTTTTTTGACGACAAACGATCCGTTGCTGTAAAATGCTTGGCCGATTATTGCGTAGGTACCTATTGAAAAAGTTATGGCTCGCTTGTGTAGGAATGCGTTTATACTGCGTCAATAGTCATATAAATGTAGGAATGAACTGTTGTAACAACTAACAATCATATATTCGTATCGACAAGAAATAATTAAAAAATAAGATTTTTATGGGATCTAACGCGGGCAACGGCTAATGTAATGTAAGTTTTTGTGCAAGTGTGAAAATGTGTATTTTTTTTATTACCTATTATTGTGACGAACTTGTAACGGTAATTAATAAATAATAATATGTTTTTCAACGATTAGAACTCTATTTAAGAGTTTGTTTAAATAACTTTTGCTAATTAAAATGTATAGGTAAGTACCTACCTGGCTACCTATATCCATCCATTCTTAAATTATTATTATGTATTCCTAACTATACACAATAGCACCTATTTGGTGTTTGTAGATGCGAGTAAACACATGTACCTGTGCTCAGTTTTCTAAAACGTTAATAATTGTATAAACTGTACTGTTATATTATTTAACAACTGCGAGGCCAGATAGATACCTACCTACCTATAATAATATAATATTGTGCATCCATATTCCATATACAACTTATAATATACGTCTCAAAATTCAATATTGATTGTCTCGAAAAATATATATTATTAGAAGTTTTATATTATGGATTACACGGCTATGTTCAGCAATAAAAAATTGAATATTTTGTATGACTGACCACTCGCACATATTATTTCATACTTAACCAGCCCTTCTAGAACAAAGCAGCGTTGTTATCGGCAACGGTCGATCGGTCAAATTGTATTCTTGTAATAATTATATTACTTATGAAATTAATGAATGAGTATTGATTACTGAATACTGATTAGTCAATAGTCGTTAGTGTAAAAGTGTGTCGTCTTGCTATTTAAAATATACACTAATAATAATATTGTCGATTATATGCAGAATTAATGGAATGAAAATGTTTTAAAATCGACTCAACTATATGTAGGAATAAATCATTATTTTATTAACTTAACATATCTATAGTAATTTTGTACATAATATCCTTCAGATGTTCATCCCTCGGATACATTAAATGTTGTAAGTCTACAAGCAATTAAATTAATGACATATAGTCCTACACGCCCGCGCCCGCTCACACTGCACACTTTGCGGTGTATGTGACCGACATAGAAAATATATTTCAGAGGGTTATCGATAAATCATTATATTATTCAGATCGGACAAACAACGCAAACACACCCATAATATATATATAGTATATACATATTATATATGTGGTAACACGTGTGTTTATATATAAGTATATATATATATATTATGTATATGCACATACACATATGCTTATATATATATATAGTATATGAGCGCCGAGTGGAGAGTTTCGAGAGTCGGTAGGACGGACTATGCGTTTGATTTACGGTGGAAATATCTTATTATTATTGTATGCTTTATTTACAAAATATTTTATTATGGAGTCGTCGCCGACAATTACTAGAAAAATAACCCGAAAACGGAGTGCACGTGTGTGGGTGTGCGTTGAATCGCAGGGCGCCCATTAACTCTGGTGTGTACACACGTTGCGGTTATATTATGTGTACAATATTATATATATTTAAATATATTATAAAGCAATAACGCTCGACCTTCCTACCGCACAGGTTTTTTAACGAACGTAAAAATCATAAATAAATTATGCGAAGATAGCGCGCGTAAAATATATATAATCGGAATGGCGTGATGCACGCCGCACGTTCTCCAGCCGGTGGAATTAATAATGAAATATTAATATATTTTGTTATCGACCTGTATAACTGAGTTTTTCGACGCGGGCGAAACAATTATAATCTGCAGGCGATAGTAAAGGGTGAGCGCCAATTTACAGTTTTTCCACCGCATTTCCTCCATCGACAGTAAAGAGTAATCAGTAATCACTATACGATTGATAATAACTGATAAGATACGGAGGGAGTTGAAAATCTTAAATTATTGAAAATGTCCATTTAAATGTGGAAAAATAATATTGCAGTATACCTATTTCAACTCTTGGACCATGACCGCGTAGGTTTGTAGACGTAATTTCAGTATTTTTTCTCGGATGAATGAACAAATTTATGCTTTACAGTTAGGTTTGAGTATAATGTTGACATAAAACAAATTCTTGTCAGTTTAAAAAAATGCACATGTTATAGATAACTAATATTGTGCTTACATATTATTATGCTCAAATCCGAAAGTGTATAATCCCTTGCAGTATAACATTATAAACTAGAGGCACAAAAAAAAAACACACCAACATCCTTCCCATAACAATTTTTTTTGGTTCCCCAGTATAGCAGCAGTGTATTATAATAATATTGACAATAAGAAATAATATGACAAATGTATTGTGGGGACTCTACACGGGGCTCGCTACAAACATACCTCTCAAATACAAATACACAAGTATACAACGCAAAAACGCCCCGCCGTGTCGAATCAATAAACCGTACACATAAATCATAATATTATTATTGTATACCTATATAATTACATGGGTATACCTGCCCAAACACACAGCCGGACACATGGAGACCGCGGGTAAAAAACGGACCGGGAAAAGTCATCAATTTCGCTTTATCGTTCGATATTCGCCGTGTAGAAAATACAAATACACAATAAAATAATAATATATAAGTCGAGCGTTGCGAGACGGTGCCGGTAAAATAAATAAAAAAAAATACAATATAAAAAACCGTAAGGAAATTTATACGCGTCGTCCGGACGTGTGCCGACCGTTTAAATAAATATTGACACGTCCGACGAATTATTGTTACGACTCGCTCCGGTGGCGGCGGCGTGGCACATCACACACATATATAGAGTCAATATATACCATAATATTATTATTATTATTATTATATACGACTAGGGCCACCGCCGATGTATTATTTATAGGGTAGTATTTAGGGGTATTTATGTATATATATATATGTGTGTGGTACGATAGATATTAATATTAAATATTATCGTAGAGAGTGGGAGGTAGCTGGTATATATAATATAATATATTATTTCTTGCATTTCCTTCGCACCCCATCCCCCCAGTTCATCCCCCTCACCCAACGAGTCCACCACCCGGAACCAGTGGCACCGCCACGCGCGCACCGTTTGTGTTTGTGTGTAGAATCTCCGAACCGTTAAGTCGCACGTATCCGTTTACCTAACCACATTTTTTTTGTAACCTCTTTTTTTCCGCACCGAACTCCGTCGAAAACCCTCTCGAGGGTAACCGCGAGAACGAGCCTCGTGCCACTGTTCAAACACCATGAGGTCCTTAAGTATTATTATAATAATATATAGTAATAATGACAATAATAATATTAAATTGCTACGTGTAGCCGCTGAGGTGCATATAATGTACTGCACATACGCCTAAGTGAGCGACGTGTAAGAATAATATTGCAGTGACGCGATTTTCGCTAATGGAAAAGTCAATCTATCTACGCGTGGCCCTATACAGTAGGTATACTTCCCACCCTGTTCACCAACACACCACATAAATATTAAATGTACACGTTGAATATACCGGATTATCTATTTAACGTAAGACACACATTATTTCAAAAACTATTAACATTTATGAAAATATATTTTTTTTTTTAAATTTAAGAGATTAAAAAACATTATTTTTTTAAATTTTTATCGTTATGATTTTTTTATGAATGTTTTACGAGTGGTTTATGATTTATAACTTGTAACTTATAAGTATTTAATGTTTTTATGAGTGGAGTGAAGTGGTACAGAATATTGGTAATTTAAGATTAAAAAAACACACTTCTCTAAAAAAACAAAAAAATAATGAAAAATTTAAAAGTGTGTGGTATAATATGTCAAGTTTAAGAGCGCCACACACTTTTAAATTTTTCATTATTTTTTTGTTTTTTTAGAGAAGTGTGTTTTTAAAAAATAATTTTTTAATTTTTTATTTTCTACTTTTTAGTTAAAAAAAATTTTTAATTTTTTTTTTTTTTTTTTTTTTTTTAAATTTTTTTACGGATTATTGTATTGTCATCCAAGACCAAGGTCTATACAAATTTTCAGAATTTTTCATCTTCAAAAAGTGCCTCAAATCGAGCGCGCAAGATTTGATCACAGACAGACGTGTAACCAAACTTAAGAAAAGTGTTAAAAATGTTTTAACTATTAAACCACCTCTTCTTGTCCAAAATTTGATTTTTATAAATATTCGAATAATATTCTTCTTCGGGATATGGAAATAAAAAATATTTCTCATGAGTAAAATAAAAAATAAATATTAAGTGCATTACGTTAAATGGATCACTCAGTACCTATATTATATACATATATACGAGAGTTGCAGTTGAAATACGCACTAATAAGTGCTGTTACCAACGACAGCATTTATTCATTTACGAAACCGTGTCTTTTACAACGGTTCGTGCTACTTTACTTTAAACATTGTTTTTGCTCTATATAGGTACAATTTGTACATAATGATTATAATAGGTAAGCTCACCAGTATGAATATAAGTGTGCTTCTTCATATCTGACTTCTGGTGGAACCGTTTACCACAAAATTGACACGGATACGGTCTCGTATCGGAGTGAATCAGTAGATGAGTGGATAGCGTTGAAGAACGCTTGAAACTCTTGTGGCACAGCTTACACTGAAAAAAAAAACAATTGCGTGAACGGTTGTTCGTAGATATACAGTCGTACATGAACAGTCGAGGCGCAGTTTCCGGAAACGTAAAAGTACAAAACAAAATTGGTGCATAAATGTTATTGTAGGTAATAAGCTATTAAACATAAGCATAGCTTTGAAGCGATAGGAAAAATAAAATGCTGCGCGAGACTTATAGTGCGTAAGTACAAGTGCGGCACGGATATCATCTAGTATAAAATACAGAATATTCTATATTATAAACAATGTCAGTAATTCAAAAAGTCACAACTCCGCGGGTTTTGGTCGCAGAGTGATCGACCTGTGAACCAAGCTGCGAGTCTATAGTTTTTCCACCTCTGATGCTGCAACGACTCTTGAATAACTGAGAGAAATATTAGTAAAGGCTGTTGGTTTAATTAAGCTTGGCATGTTGGTCAGGGTTTGTGACGAGTTTGGTAACTTTGAAACCTCATAACCGTCGGTATGAGGAGGGATAAAAAACAAATATTGAACATTTGTGAGTAAAAACCTAGATAACATTATTAAATATATCGTATTCAAATCAAGTCATAATTTATATTATGACACATCCTGTATATGAGTTGGCCGAATGTAAAAAATAGGTAATTTCATAAAAAAAACATGGTTGAGACAGACGCCGTTTTGCATTTACTCCTAATTTTTACAGTATCTATATAGAAGGGATATGACTAATAACTAGTTTATATACATTATTCACTATTGAGTACCTTATAATGAACAATACAACTATATGGCAACACAATATCGATTGTGTGATCCTGCGATCTTGTGAAAATGGACCCGATGCACCCTTTTATAATTGGTGGACTCATATGTTAGAAGTATAATAGAAGCAGAAATCCGCAAGAAAATTAAAGGCGTGGTTCTGGAAATGGGTGAATTGTGGTCTCCGGGATGGACGTCACAATGGTGTCTGCGCGCTCTCGAAACCATTATATATATTTTTTATTATGTAAGACGGGTACAAAGGTTTAAAAAAGTGCGTATATTGTGTTTAGCGCTTGCGAGGATATAGTATATAGTAATAATACGACCAGCATCATTATGTCCATTGGTGTGAATACACGATCGATTATGTAATATGTCATTGAATAAAACGCCGGTAGCGCGATACATAAAAAAACTAAAAAACCAAAATCCTCCTCCCAGTGTGCTGTTACCGCGAATAAAAAATACCCAATATAAAACTATTATTGGGTACCTATATAATAGAAGCAGAAATCCACAAGGTTTAAAATTAAAGGCGTAGTGGTTCTGGAAATGGGTGGTATTGCGGTGTCCGGGATGGACGTCACAATGGTGTCTGCGCGCTCCCAAAACCATTGTATATGTTTTTTATTATGTAAGACGGGTACACAGGTTTAAAAAAGTGCGTATTGTGTTTGGCGTGTGCGAGGGTATAGTATATAGTAATAATACGAGCAGCATCATTATGTCCATTGGTGCGAATACACGATAAATTATGTAATATATCACTGAATAAGAAGCCATCGCTATTGCAGTAGCCCGATACATTAAAAAACCAAATCCGCCTCCCGGTGTACTGTTACAGCGAATAAAAAATACCCAATATAATACAATGATTGTGTACCTACATAATATAACATATTATTATTACTGTATACATAAACCTATATATTATAATGACGGCAAATGTCATTGTCCGCCTGCCGTCGACAATCCTAACGGTATATACAGTACCTATACGTATCTATATATCATGGTAGCAATTTACATTTTTGACTACGAAATGAGGGGCTGAAAAATGTATTATTTATTACAAAGCTCGTGTATATATTACTGTATCGAGTTTAAAAACGACAACATTGTAAAGAAGCGTTTACGATTTTATACATTTTCAGCTTTAAACTATTTTCTTTCCTAAATATATGAAATACCTACCAACCTACAATATAATACAATAACTCAAAAGGAATGATGTAAGATTAATCGAAATATATAGATACGTATTGAATTTTTAACTTATAATCGTTTCAACAGTTTTTTTTTCGTTGAAGGGGGTGATTTCTCCGCTATTATTTTTCTCTATACCTATAATGTTTACGATACACTCCAAAACCGTTTTTTAACCAGTGGAAAAAAATAAAACAAGAAATCGTGGCATCGGCTGGGCGGGTCAGTCAAGTTTCGCGCAAACGATTGTTATAAAAGTTCATAAATATGATTTAAGGGGTTGAGATTCGCGACCGCATTTCTGCTTGCGTTATATCTATACAGACGATTTATTGTATACATAATGTATCGCTTTCCGATTTTTATAATCGTTGGTGCCGGTTGTGACTCTCCGACAGAGCTTAGGGTAATAATTACGTGTATAGGTTAGGTAGTTATTAACGATTACAAATCGTAGACTAGATTTTAAACACGCATATCGTGGTGAAAAAATCAGAGTTTTGTGGTGTATTATTTTTATATAATATATACCTAAACACGTATTATAACTTATAATATAAGTCGATCGGAAGTAGATCACTGCACATTATGCGTTTGGAAACTCAATCAATAGATGACGTGATATTTTAGTCAGTATAGCTAAACGCGGTTTGCTATATTATTTTGCAGGTAATTCAGTAAATCAAATCGCCTTGACTGTTATAATATATTATACACTATATGTTCCTGATAAATCGTCAATCGTCAGGTGATGATGTAGATTGTAGGACGTAGGTACCTACATATACGGCATAAAGTAAATCACAGTGAAACGACATCAGTGGACCAAGTCCCCGGGTCCAGACCCCCTCGGGCTATACCAACTTAGGTATATTGAGTGGGTATGAAAAATATGGTGCCTAGAATATATTATGATATTCCCCCCGAAGTCAGCTCATATCAACCGCCCCCCAACCCTTAAGTGGTTTTTCTTAGCTCATTTAGACCGTTTAATGCAATAATATGGCATAAGCATATATTAAACTACACATAGCACACCATATGTTAGCGTCGTCGTCGCACTGTACAATATTATATTATGATAGGTCCTTGCAGTGAAACAGGCGATCAGGAGGGCTGAAGGAGAGAGAGGAAAGCACACTTGCGAAACGCGGCTGTGTCTGCATATTATCGGGCGCAGTACAATAACGCTGTTTAAATCGCCGCCGCTATGGGAAATAAAAAACAATAATAATAATAACAATCAACGGTTCCGGGCTTTATCTCGTCGCGGAGAGTGGCATAAAAAAAATAAAAAAAAATTGCAATTTCGTTAATTAACTCGCGGTCGTATACTCGCTCGTCTGTATAGTGCCTATAATATGTACATATAATATAATGCCGAGCCGCGGTGTGACAAATATAGAAATACAGAGATCGAGTCGTTGTAATATATATATTAATAATAATATGGCGCTCGGCAGTAAAAAATAATCTTATACGTTCTCGATTAACTCGTATGACGTGTGTGAGTACTATATTATTATATATTGATATTTGCCGAAGGTAAGTTTTTTAACGACCTCTTTGCGGCGGCGACGATACGCATTTTCGCAGCGGTGTGCGTCGCCGTATATTATTGTAATATTTTCACGTAAACCATATATTATAGTTTCTAACAATTTTTCATGCTATACATTATTATAACGATGAAATATATCGTAAAACGCATCCAAATCTGATATGTATATAGGTATAGGTAATCAATAACACGCACGTTTATCTAAAATTACGTTATCGTATAAGACCGTCGCTAATCGAAAATCACAAAACTACAAAAATAAAACGTTCAGAATTATCCGCAGATTTCTATAATACACATTACGTTTGTTCAGATAAGATACCTGCAGCGTTATTGCTTTTATTTTAAGAAATATATATTTCTAACGCCGAGACGTATATCGTCTGGAAATTCGGCATCGTCATAATATTATTTTAGTGCCAGTACCTATTCTTCTTGATTTCGTATAGGTATAATGGAAGATGACGTGATTCAATAGTTAATAAAATCTCGCAATGAATAATCTAACGAAAATATATCTATTATGAGTACCACCTATGTACCTATCGTGGAAAAGAAAAATTCGGTGACGTGTTAATTGTTTGGCGTCGCAATATATTGGATTATAAATTATTTAGAATTATTCTTAAATAATTAAACGGCTTTGATTGAATATTTAAAGAAAAAAAAAACTATTGAATGTAAATTTGTTCGGATTTAAATTAAAAACTGATGTTTTATTTTTATTTTATAAACTTATATATTTTTTTTTTTAAACTCAGTTAATATAGGTGTACAGCAAATAAAATAGGTATGATGTCACGAGGGTATATTTTATAACAATAAATATTTATTTGAAACTCCATCAGACGGATGTGTGTAGTTTCGAATTGTCGAAATGCATCGATATTGTAGACGCGGTTACTGTTAAATTACAATAGATATCCGTTCGAAAATTTCTAAAAATTTGAGGGAACGATTTACAAAACGAGAGCAAATGGTTTGCTGATATTATATTGTACCTAGTGGCTATTTAGAATTTGGAAATAAAAATAAATAAAACTCGTGCAGTATAATTTTATATTGCTTAAGTTGTTGTGAGTTGTAACAATATAACACTGACACAAATAATAATAAGATAATCGACTCAGTTGGATATTTTCTAGCCATCAGTTATAAATGAGTATAATAGATATTTCGAGTGTGTGACCCCCCGTGACATATTTTTCTGGATACTTATTGAGAGGTTTGTGGGCTGCGACACAACAATGGTCAATGGGTAGGTATCAACCCTGCACATAATAGTGGTCATTTTATATGATATAGCGTGTCCGTGTGAATTGATGTATAATAATAGATATTGTTATAAAACGACATTATAC